CCCCCCCCTCCCCTCCCGGAGGTTCAAGTTTCTGCGCCCGGAGGACGCGGCCTCGGCCAATCCCCGGGCTACAGGGCGCTTTTAAAATGCAGGTACGGCTTCGGGGAGGGGAACGGTGGGAAAGGTAGGGCAGGGCTTTCCTTAAAGGAGACGCGCGGAAATGGACGCCGAGCCCCCTCCCAAGCCCGCGTCCTCCGCCCGGCCTCCCCCGCCCCAAATAAACAAATGCCCGAGAGGCGGAGGGCAGCTCCGCTTCTCCCTCCCGGGGGCACCAGAGTCCAGCGTAGTCGGAGACACGACGAACAATGGGACTCTGACTCGGAGGTCGCTCTCCCCCGAGGCCGGGCGGCTCTTTGTCCCCTTCCGAGCCCCCGACTCCTCCGCCCCCATCTCCACCCCTGTCCCCTGCTGGAGCCTGCAGAGGCTGCGTTTCCACTCCAGCCCAGGTCTGTGGCTCCTGCGTCTGAGCCCCAAGAGGGCCGGGGCCTCGCCGGCCGTGCCTCGGAGCACGGTCTGTACCCCCTTCGGTGCCCCGAGGGGGCGAGGGCACCGGGAACCTGCCCCCCGCCCGGAGACGCGCTCAGAGCACCACTCCCCCGCCCACCCGATCGCTAGACCCCGGGCTTCAGGGCAGAGTCCGTAATTCCCGAGGTGGAGACCAGTGAGAGGATAGAGGAAGATCTCCCAATGGGGCCTTAACGCCAGGGCGGGGGGGTCGCCGAGCCTGCCGCAGAACCCCCTCCCCACCGGTAGCCTCGCCCGACACCCGGGTGTTCCGCCAGCCCGTGAGTCTGTCTCTTTATCCTCGCGTCCCCGTAGCGTGTTTACGGCGCGCCTGCTGCTAGCTGGTCGGAGGGGGCGTCCCTCCCCCGGGACCCGCGACGAGATAAAACCCGCGCACTCGACTGTGAGCCGCCAAGGCCTGCGGCGCGCGCCCGCGCAGCCACTGATGTCCCCATTTCCAGTTGCTCAACCCTTCGTTGGACGACTGCGCACCCAGCACCTTCTCTACACCAGTCCTGTTTCAGACCCCCCCCCCCCCCCCCCCCCCCGCGGGGGGGGGGTTTTTTGGGGCACGACAGCAGAGGTCACTGCCCCCTGGGGGGGGGGAAGTTGCACTCTGTGGGGAGGAGTAGAGAGCAGATAATAAACACTAGATAACCATGAGATTGTAATAAGCGCTGTGTAGGGATTAGGACCAGCTGCTGTCACAGAAAGTGGTAATCAGTTACTTTAGATCCCGTGGTCGAGGAGGACCTCTCCGGAGGTGCATCTAAGCCGGGACCTGAGCAGAAAGGACAAAGATAAGGGGGAAGGGCACTCCAGGCAGAGGGAGTAGTAGTGCAGAGGCCCTAGGGTTGGCCTGTTACTGGCCTGTCCAAGCAAGGCCAGTGGGCCTGGGAATGGGCCAGGGAAGGGGTGAGGGATGAGGTCAGAGGGGCCAGATCATGCATGATTCTAGGGCAGCTGGGAAAGCAGTGGGGGGTTAGCACCAGGCAACATGACCTGATTTACCTTTTAAGAGGCTCACTCTAGCCCATATGTGGAGAAGGGAAGGGGGGAGGTGCTTGGAGAGGTCCAGATTCAGACCTTTATTCCCCACCCATCCACCCCTCTCTCCAGGTAGATATTCAGGAGGGGGTGGTGGGCAGAGGATGACTCCAAGGAGCATAGCTTTGAGCTATGCTTTTGCTGAGTGAATGCACCACCCGTCAGCCCATGACCAATTGAATCTGAGCCCCTCATTTTGAAGATAAGGAAACTGAGCCCCAGAAGAGAAATGACTTCCCCAAGGCCACTTTTTGTTCATTGATTCACTGAACACACATAGAATAATTAGGTAAGAATTTATACACAAAAGCATGTGTATATGCAATCATCTACACAACCCTGGGTTAGGCTCTACGGAATGAGCCAACTAGGCCCCCTGAGTCGAATCTTGAAGAGTGAGTAGGAGTTTGCCAGATTTTGGAGGAGGGAGGGGAGGGGTTGGGATAGTCCCAGGGGAGGGAACAACATAAGTCAGGACCCCAGCAGTAGGTGATGGTGAGCTGCGAAAGGGGGAGTGTCAGAGGGAGGTGAGGCTTGGAGCCAGGGTTCGGAGGGCTCTGTGAGCTGCGGGGAGAAGCGTGTGTGGCCTCTCCCTGGGGCTGATAGTTAGCAACAGCAACAACAGGAATAATACCACCACCGGCCACTTACCCTGTACTCAGTATGAGCCAGGACTCTAGGCCAGCCCTCCTGTGATGATCATAACCACTCTATAAGAGGGGGTCATTAGCTCTTTGAGGATTTAATGTGAGTTCCTGTCGGCTTGCTTGTCTCCACGAAGCTCGGATCACCGCGTGAATTCATGGGCGGAGTACAGAGGCGTGTAGACACCCAAGGACTCCGGGACAGCCAGGGGAAGGTTGTGTGGCAGCTGAGTGTTTCTGCAGGCCAGCACAAGTGATGGTGGCTGATGGGTCTGGGGCCGGACTCTGGGGTTTCTTCTCTGCCCACCCTGGGGGACCCCAAAACAGGGGAAGGCACCACGTAGGGCTGAAAGGCCACCATGCCTAAGAAATCAGGGCCCATGGAAAAATGACCATAATTATTATCAATAAAGTGAGCACTTTTTTTTTTAATGTTTTATTTCTTTTTGAGAGAGAGAGATAGAGCATGAGCAGGGGAGGGGCAGAGAGAGAGGGAGACACAGAATCCAAAGCAGACTGCAGGCTCTGAGCTGTCAGCACAAAGCTCAACGCGGGGCTCGAACTCATGGACTGTGAGATCATGACCTGAGCTGGAGTCAGACACTTAACCGACTGAGCCACCCGGGCGCCCCGAGTGAGCACTTTCCATGTACCAGCACTGCTAGGGCTGTACGTGGATTGTAGTCCTAACTGCAGCCCTGTTATGTGGGAGCCCGCATTCCCATTTTACAAGAGGGGAAACTGAGGCTCACGTAGGTGAAGTCACTTGTCCCAGGTCACACAGCTGGCAAGCAAATGAGCTGGGATTTGAACCCAACACCGTCTGAGTCCAAGAGGGCCCCGTATCCAGCAGACTACTGCCCTCAGTTGCCCCTTCTCGGAGAGGAGAGCAGACCAGACCAGAGGCTTCGGGCATCCTTTTCACTGTGGCGCTGGTCCTAGCATGCGGAGGGCCTGCCCTGTGCCAGGACCACGTCCACCATGGCGCTTCCTCCCGCTGCAGGCCTTCCGCAAGTCACAGAGACTCCCCAAGCCTCTGGACGGCAGCCAGGGTCAGAGCCGTCCAGCTGTTCCTGCCGACAGGTCACTGCAGATTGTTAGCTCCACGTCCCAGCGCCTCCGTTGCTGACTTGCTGGGTGACCTCAGGCCATTCTTTTACCTTCTTTGAGCCGCAGTTTTCTCCCCCAAGCCCTTCCCCACAGGACGAGTGTCAGGCACTTAGCAGAACTCTTGCAAAAGCTCTGGAAAGGTGAGCTATGCCTCCTCTCCCTATACGTTCTTCCCATCCTCTGGACGAGCACAGTCTTCTGATAAGGACATTTGCACCCATTTTTCAGAGGCCAACACTGAGGTACAATAAAACAAGGGCTGTCCAGGAACCTAGCGCTTGCCCCTGGCAAACTGGGTCACAAAGGATGCTGGGTGTGGCCCTGGGTGGCCACCAGCTTCCTTTGAGGATGGGAGCCGCACAGAAAATGCGGAACCTCAGGAACATGAGAGTTTAGTGATGCAGTGTCTCAACTCCCACATTTACAAGTGAGGCAACGGCACAGAAGCTGGGACCACCAGTCAGAGTGCTTGGATACTGGCCTCTGGAGGGCGGCTGTGGGAGGTCTGGGTGAGGGGAACGTGGCCTCATTCACCTTGCTCCGGAGCAGGAAGCCAGTGGTGCAGGGACAGCTGCCTAGAACCTCTGATGTCTCTGTGGGACGGGTGGAGCTGAAGCCCAGGGGGCCTCATGTCCAGGCAAAAGCCTCAAGGTTAACCTGAGGGCCGTGGGAGGCCCAGAAGGCGTGGAGCAGAGGAGAGACATGGCCAGACTTTTGTTTGATAGAGAGCCTGTGACAGAAGGCGTCGAGGGAGGCGCGGATCAGAGAGGGTCAGCAGAGGCTGGGAAGCTGCAAAACCAGGCCAGCCAGAGACCGGGGCAGATGGATCCCCATCGGTCCCCAGGGTGAAGGTCCCTTTAGAGACCAATTGGGAAGTGTCTGCGTCCGCACCCCTCCCTTCCCAGCCAGAGCCACTGAAATTCCCTTCCCCCCCCCGCCACCCCAAGCACCTGGCATCCTCTCACACCATTGACCTGAGGAGTGAGGCAGGAAGGGAGGCTCAGCCATCAGGGAAACTGAGTCAGGGGAGCTGGACTACCTCTCACCTCAACACACTTAAAAATATTATTCTTGGGGCGCTTCAGTCGGTTAAGCATCTGACTTTCACGGTTCATGAGTTCGAACCCCATGTCGGGCTCTGTGCTGACAGCTCAGAGCCTGGAGCGTGTTTCGGATCCTGTGTCTCCCTCTCTCTCTCTGCCCCTCCCCTGCTCATGCTCTGTCTCTCTCTCTCTCTTTCTCAAAAATAAATAAACATTGGGGCGCCTGGGTGGCTCAGTCGGTTAAGCGGCCGA